CCCCCCCACCCCTCTTGGCGCTCCGACTTTCCTGCTTGCACCTGGCGAATGCAAATCGATTCCTCCGGCCGCAGGATCTTTTCGGAGCACGGCCTTGACTTCGGGCGATACCGGAGCGCGAAACTCACGCGCGCGCTCCTTGAGCACATACAGATAAGGTCAGCTCGGGGTAATCGCACGACGTGTGCGCGACGTTCCTGCACTTTTCGACGTGTAATTGATAGCGGTGGTCCGACAACTGCGCGAACGGCCGATTAGCGTTCCTCATCGCCGACAGATATTCCAGCGCTCGTTATTCACGCATCTTCGTGTCACCGATATTTTCCGTTCCCTATCGTCCGGGTGCCATTATTATCCGGATTGATTCCGCTCGAGCTGTGTTCGAGCGAGCGTTGTCGCTTGTTGCCACCGTGCCGCCTCGTGTCATCGTACGGCGGTCGTTTGTCCAGCGATACTAATTCACTCGGGCTACCGTGTTTCTCCGCTTCGAAAATCTGTACCATCTCTTTGGAGATGGCTGTGACTCACCCGAGTCTCGTACCAAATGCCGATGTCACTATTGGGGAATATCATCTTTGTAACGCACGAGTGCAATGTGAGAAATTGAGAATTCAGACCGGTACTCGTAAGTCCGGATTCTAAATTCTCTCTCATCGATAAAGTGCCTTAGTAACCACCTGATTGGCTGAGGAGCCATGTTAAAAGCATTTTTATCGATAAAAGCGAGTTCAGAATATCGACTATAGTTAGATCTTATTTAAAATTATTTTAAGTTCATTTTCAGATGCGTAGTAGCCAATAGGTTTCTTCGTTTTAGCCGAATTAGATTGCACTTTATGCCTTGAGAGTGAAACAAGTGTGTAACCTAGCGACGAAGGAAAGAGAAACGAAGTTCCGACGCAACCACTAGCTTGGCTAAAACGTACAGGCCCGCGATAATAACGATCTGTACAGCATCTGAAAGTAAATTAGAGACGATCTTAGACATTAATTCGAATCCACAATAAATGTAGTAAGCCTCCAGCCTTTTCCCGTAAACGCTAAATTGTAACGTAATTTCTGACAAGAAAGCCTTTTCAACAGCAGACATCGCAATTCCTAAGATTTAAATGTTATCACGACAGTGCGGGAAACACCTTTTGTCAGAAATTACGTTACATTTTATTGCTCAGAGAAAAAGGCTAAGAGGCTCACTGAAAGTTTATTACACCTATTGCGGACTGAAATTTGACTATGAATACTTAATTTACATGTCACGATCTTCCGCCTACTCACCGTCTTAAAATATTTTTCTGCATAATAAACATTCTAAGTGTATGTCTAGATACATGTATCGTGTAAACGTCATGTACGGATGACTATATTAAACGGTTTAATTTACGTCAATGGCATTGTTTCCTTTTGGACGGTTACATTTTGATAGTACCTCTACCAATATCTCAGCAGATACGTGCAACGCCTACGCATGACGGTCGTATAAGTGCAGGCACTTTTTCCATTTCCGATGTTATTCCTTTTTCTTCTCACCTGTGCATTGCTGTCCGTCATTGAAGTAATTACGGTGCGCACATTTTTTGCGTCGTCGCCGTCCGGCGCTAGGCAATGCGGTTATCTATGCCCGAAGTACGAGAGTTATCTTATCTTGGAATTATTTAGCCGACGCGGCTACCTGACGAAACGTCATAATCGAGGATCAGTGCGGTACACGTGCGTGTTAAGAAGGATAACACGCGTACCGATGCTCGTAATGTAATTGGCAACGATCGAGTGCAACGCGCACGTGCCGTGCAAATCTCTATTTGCGCACGCAAAAGTCACCGGCAAGCGCGAAGAAGATTCTTGACGATTGAGACACACGCACACACTCAGAGGAAATACCAGACGTGACGCGTGCTTTCTGCACGAGATACTTCTTTAACGCTGACATTCTTGCGCGATTCATGCACGAGTTCTCTTTCGTTCGTAAAGAATAAAGGAAAAGTACCAAAACCGACGTAACATTTTATTTTTAAGAAAAGCTTCGTTGAAAATGTTAAAGTAAAATTTATATACACAGATGCAAACCAGCAATTTCTTCTCTGTCAGAATATATGATAATTTTATGAAAATTATTACGTACTTTCTTGCGTATTAACTATTTTTTAAGATGTTTGAAAATTGAAAATAAAATCGATATACCCACAATTTCTATAGAAAATTTTATTAAAAAAATAAAATAAAAGCACTGAAATTATATTATTTTGTACATTTATTACGTATCTTTATATGTTATCTTTAATTTTATATATATTTTGTAAAACTTTACAAATTTTACAAATGTATATTGTGGAAAGAGAATCGCTGTCGTCTTTCCGACTATCTTAAACAAACAAACAAGAAAAACAGGAGGGAATCAGTTACCAGTAGCTTCAACTGTATTCTGTAAAATAATATTTCACGGCCAAGTTCAGGTATGTCGGTTGAAAGAACAGCAAACCTTAACTTTTCTTGTGTGGTTCAATAACAGAAGACAGAAATTGGTACAAGATTGAAAGTGATTTAAAAAATTAAAAACTCTATAAAATAGCATTGTGAAATAAGTTATCGCTGGTTTGTTATTTTACTTATTTCTTTAGTTTTCATAAGAAGATAGCTCAAACAAAAACTTTGTCACAACAAAAAATCAAACGACGATAATAACACAACTGAACTTGCAAACGAAATCTGTCACTTTAGCTCCAACTACTATACACCGTAGGCGAAGCTCATATTCTGTTCGAGTTCAGTATTTTACAACTGAGAAACATGAATATGTCGATTTACTCTACCTATGTCACTTTTGGTGCTTCTTCTACTATGGTCGAAACTGTCGCCGCTAACAATATAACGCGACAACGATTTAATAATTAACGGAATAATTATTAATCTATCGCAATATAATGTTTACTGTTACGAATTTTATAATTATTAATAATGGAATATTCGATGAGGAAGAATGTCATTTGTGTTAAAACAAACATTAATAATACGATGAACGATTTACGTAATTCTGTGTGTTGCGAGCGCAGCCTGGCTCGTTGTGAGAATTGCGTTCCGGGGTCGTTAACCTGTTATTTCTTTTAATAGCCTAACAAATTTACTGCAAATTATCTCTTGTAATCCACTTAGTCGAGCCATGTGTAGCGTGCTCCATCGAGAATTGACGTTTCACTGTGAAAATGCATCAGATGCAAATTGTAACGCACGCTAAGAACTCGGGTGCATAATCTTAAATTTCAGTGCTTTGCCGCAAATCGAGCAAATTGGCGATAAATTCATAAGAAGTACAAGATTTGATCAGAGTTGGCAAAATTCCAGATTTCTCTTGATAAAATTCATGTCAGTGGAAAAAAACCGATATTTTCCGGAGAAAGCTGGCAAAAACTGATTTTTTCTATTAAAAACGATAAAATTAATAGGAAACCTTTTATTCTAATTTACAGGAAGTCCAAAACACTATAATTTTATCCATGATTCTGTGCGTAAGAATCTACGAGTAAAAAACAAACGAATAGCGTACGATTATATGCTCATATTTGCTATGAATTTTTCCACGCAGCTGCGTTAAAGTAATTATTATACTTTTATCGTTTACTGGTGAAGTAGTCAGTTAACATGAGTAATTTGAACAATACATTGTATTCTGTTCTGTTGATAACGTCAATAAGCAGAAATTGTAGGACATTAATAAATAAATGCAAAAGCTCTAATAAAACAATTTCTTCAAAAATGCAATAAGGCTAAAGTAAACATAAATATAAAATAAAAATAGACGAGAAGCAGATATGTGTTGATAAAAATTTTTGTTTCAGTTATTCTGTTGTTGTTGTTATTTTTATTATTATTATTATTATTATTATTATTATTATTATTATTATTATTATTATTGAGTTCTTTTATAAAATTTATTAAATTAAAAACCAATATGAAATTTCGTGACATTTATAGCTCCAAAATTATTTTAAACATGTATTTCACATATCAATTCGAACGAAAAGAGACTCCATTATTATATTGGTTTCTTTAAATTATAGCAATTAATATGATTTAAAGCAAAAATATCTTTTCAAAAGTTTCTTTTTGCATAAAATTATGTAAATATATATTTGAATGTTACATAGTATATTAGTTCTGATTATAGTTTTTGCTAGTTTATTCCATTGGATAAAGTCCGAGACAGTAAAAGCTGAAATTTACCATGGTTTTCTCACTTATTGGAATTTTCCGGCCAATCCTGACGTCGATACTTTCCGTTCCATTTAAAATTCCTCATTCAGACGTTATACTCGCAACACGAGAGAACACATTTGACTGTAACACGCGCTCCTTGCCTCGTGTTTGTTGTAGCAGGCCAATGAACCATTACTTAAGCGCACAATCAATATGTATGCCTATATGTATAGCATTTAGAAAGGCATGTGCTTGTCGTTTCACAGTCGCGCGATGTTTGCATTATCACGTTTACGGATGGTTATATTCATGGGACGCCAAGAAGTCACTCCCGTGAGAATGAGCTCAAATAAAAATTTCAGCATTGCTGATCGCCAACCACTCTCTATATCGTTCAGTTCGACTAATCAGTCACGGTTGGAGTGATTGGATCCGATCGCGCCAATCACATCAACTATACAAACAGATAATCAGCGCTGCGATTTACGGTTAAGGTAGTAGATACGCAGAA